CACACACACACACACACACACACACACACACACACACACACACACACACACACACATATATATATATATTAGAAAGTGATTCAAAATTTATTCCAGAAAAGTATCATCCATCATAATGAATCCTGATCTGGTGTTGTTGATAATGTGGAAAAAATGGCAAAAGTGGAAGAAAATGAAACAAACACTTCAACAACAGAAAGCTAGGCAACGTCACATACTAAAATTGTTTGAAATATGGAAATTGATGATATGTCAAAAGAAAGAAGCTCGTAGAATATGGGTGCGTCCAATATTCAATGAAAGACGAAGATTGTTACAAGGTGCGAGTGACAATCTGGTCAAAGAAATGGAATTTGTAGATCATCAAATGTTCTACAATTATTGTAGAATGTCCACAGACATGTTCGAACAGTTGTTACATATTGTTGGGCCACGTATTGAAAAACAATATGTCATTCGAGATCCAATACCAGCCCGTACCCGGCTTCTAGTATGCCTACGTTATTTAGCATCTGGAGACAGTATGGCTTCAATAGCTTATTCCTTTCGGATTGGAATAAACACTGTCTCAAAAATTATTTCTGAGACATGCGAGGAATTGTGGAATACTCTTCACGAATCAGTTTTTCTTGAAATAAACAAAGAGAATTGGTTGAGAATTGCGGATGATTTTGCGACGAAGTGGGATTTTCCGCACTGCATAGGTGCGATAGATGGAAAACATGTACAAATTCAAGTAAGTTTTCAGTGAGAATTGACAATGGAATTGATGTCGAGTCGGTGTCAAAATCATCAAATTGAAAGCGAATCGACGTCTATTCCATTTTCCTTTCTCGTTGGATTGATATTTATACAAATAATGTCCTTAATATTTACCCAGCATACACAGATATGTGACTGTTGTATAATATGTAATTAAAATGTATGTTCCATGTAACATACATTTAAATTGTAATACACGTATTAATTACATGTTACACAACACTTGTATCTGTGTTTGCTGTATATGTACTGTGATAGATGAAAGTGCTTATTTGTTATTTTAGTCACCTCCTCACAGCGGCTCAACTTTTTATGATTACAAGGGTAATCATAGCATTAATTTACTAGCAGTTTGTGATACCACTTACTGTTTCACATTACTTGACATTGGTGCGGAAGGGAGACAGAGCGACGGCGGGATTTTTGCAAATTCAAACTTCGGCCAACGATTCGAAAAAAATCAAATGAATTTACCAGAACCGAGACCAATTGAAGCTTCTGGATCAGCATTACCATTTGTGTTAGTAGCGGATGAGGCATTTGCTTTGACTCATTATATGATGCGACCATATCCACGAAGCGGACGTTTAAACCGTCAAAGGAAGGTATAAAATATATTAAAAATAGGCTGTTGAAATACTGGTATGTATATATCTATTTATGTATAATATTTATCCTTTAAAAAGATATTCAACTACCGTCTTAGCAGAGCACGAAGAATGATAGAAAGTGCGTTCGGCATTTTGGCATCCAAATGGCGAATTTATCGTCGACCGATAATTGCATCTGTTTCCACAGCAGTCAAAATTATTCAAGCAACTGTATGCTTACACAATTTTATTATTCAAAATGAAAACAAATTGCCACTTTCCAAAAGGTGTTATACACGTGTTATTAATGAAAGAGGAGTTGTGATAAGCGGCGCCTTGCAAGAAATAAACAATACTAGCAGAATTAGTGTTCATGCCAGACTTGTCTCTAAAATCCGAGATGACTTTGCTTCATATCTCGAAAATACAGGGGCAGTACCTTGGCAGTGGGAAAAAGTTCTGCTCAATGATTTTTAATTAAAAAAATTTAGATTTCAGGTAAGAAAAATTTTGATAAATCTATTATTAATACTTCAAGACTCTGAAAGAACAAAATTTACATTTCTTTATTTTAATTGCTGGTCGCTTACCTAGAATAATGTTAATGTCAATGATATTGTAAATTTTAGACCTTATATCTTGAAAAATACTTAATAAAAATTAATTTTATTATAGTGTTTTAAAAAGCTCTTAACATCAGCTACTAGATTCTGTTAAAAATAGGCTGCCTTATTTTAAAAAATATTACGTTTGCGTTTTTTAAAAATATGTATGTTTAATAAAAATACATATTTTTAAAACTTTTGTAAACGTAATATTAATTTAAGCAAATATAAGAATAATTACAATAAAAATACAGGTATAATATCAATGTATGTTTTTAATTATATTCTTCTTACAGAAATGTATAGATATTTTAATTGAAAAAGAATATTTGGAGCGCACAGAAGGTCAAAAGGACACTTATAGCTATTTGGCATGAACAGGAGATCAAACGATGCAGCAGCAATCACAAAATAAAAACGACATATACACTTCACTCACTCACATTGACAAGAAATGTTACGACCGTCACAAGATGTCACGGTTGCTACTACCAGATAAATTAACTCTACATATGTTTCTGCATTTCTGAGCGCCAAAAATGAAAAAAAAATAAATTTTGATAGTTCAAATGTAAAATATAAATTATAATTATAAAAAAATTATTTATATCAAAATATAAATATTACATATATTCTCGGATTCAAATTTATTTAGCGCACCCGACTTCGTTTACAAAAAAAAATCTTAAATCTTTAATAAAATCTTTAATAAAATTTCTATGCTTTAATAAAATGTTATCAACGAAATATATACTTAAATATATAATTAATAGCGCGTTGGTAGTTCTGTATTTGGATCATTATGAGCATAAATGTCTTCCTTCTCGGCGAGTAAGGTCAAAAATTGAATTTCCAAACGAGCTCTGTCGCGGTACGGTAACCTTCGCATGCCTTCTCCTAACCGTGCTAAAAATCCATCTAATGGATCAGTAGCCTGTGCTGGTGGTTCTTTCAGTGCTTCTATTAAAGCTATTTGTAAAGCATCGCTCTTTTGCTCTAAAATGTAATGTATACAAAGAATATCAATCACATGAACACGTAATACAAACATACACTCAGGAAGTAAGATATGAGGAGACTTCACTCCGTAAAATAAAAGTGGACCCATTTTAGGTTTCGAGTTCAGTTTCCGATTCTGATGAGTGCGAGTAAGAGAAATGATCATTTCTCTTACTCGCACTCATTATGCGCAGCACTACTAAATTCACGAGCCCTGCGAGTGTCGAGAATCGGAAACTGAACTCGAAATCTAAAATAGGTCCATGTTTTGTAGACTGGCGAGACTGAGTGGAGTCTCCTTATATCTTCCTTCATGCATACACTTAACAAAATGTACAATATTATTAAAATAAAAGATTTTGATTAAACTAACAAGGGGAGGACCACCTGGGATTTCGACCTCAATAATAATAATAATAGTAATAATAATAATATATAAGTTAACTTATATATTATTTATAATATAAATCTATATTAAAACGTGATTTACTTTTAGCTGCGGGCATTCGCTGGGATACATCTGAATCATAATCAGCAGTTTGCAAAGATTCTGAAAACAAGATAACAATGTTATTGTAGTAATACATGTTTTGATATATGTTAAGTTATTATTATTAAAAAATAGGACAAAAACATTAACAATCTACTACTAACTTCTCGAATTTGAGGCCAGTATTCGCGAAGTTACACTAAGAGTTGGTGATTGTAAAAGAACGTTGTTGGATGTCGAGGTCCGCGGAGTAACGGAAGTTTGTGTAGGCGTTCGTACACGAGTGGAAGTCAGCATCGATGAAGAAGCATGGATAGTCGGCGTTTGAAGAGAAATATCGGTGAACCCCGAAGATGAAGCTACAATATCATTCTCGTGTTGCTCAGGTATTGTATATGTTGCATTTTTAGCAATGTCGTCTGACAATGAACTGATGGTTCTGGAATAAATATATTAATTTATATCATTTTATATGTATTATTTAGTATGTTGATGCGTTTCCGCTTTTGCCTCATTCGTGCTCTGTTGGCCATTCTTTTCAGCTGGATTTTCACGAACCACTTAAACTGGTTGTTTCAGCGACAAAAAAGATCATGTGATAAAAATTGACAAATAGAAAATAAGAAAAAAGAAGAATAAGAATTTAGCGCGAAGATCTGACTATGACCGTCTATGCCATTTATACATAGAAATAATTAAATTTTAATCGGTTCACTAGCCTATATGTGAGTGTGTTGAACATGAATGAAACAAGTTGTCTTCAATATGTATTATCTTCGAAAAATTGACACAAAGTGATGAAATTTTGCATATTAAAGAGAAAATATTACTTACTGCCGTGTATCGAAAACGTCATTTAAGAATTTCATCAGGTCATAGAATCTAAATTTAGGTTTCTTTTGTTCATTAGTTGTTTCGGCTGCCGATCCACTGGGAATATAACTTTTAAATTTTTTACGAGCTTTCATATAATTGTCTCTTAAATATTTCCAACGAGCTTTAGCTTCTTCTGGAGTCAGAGCTCCTAGGAAGTTTTCATAAATAATAATCAGTTTTTATACTATATAAATGACCCCTTTTACACCGAGCATTTGATACGCGTATTAACTAGTAATTTTCTATTAATCTTAATTTCAGCAATGTATTTAAAAAATAATGTATTAAATTAGTAAAATATGCATCAAAATAATTAATTAAATACACATATATATCTCATATATATCTATGTTTACACATAATGCTAAAATTAAGATAATTCAATAGAAAGTTACTGGTTAATACTCGTATCAATTGCACGATGTAAACTAGCCCAATATCTATGTTGTGTGTGTGTATTCACAAACATTGATATAGTACCTCCTAGAGTGTTAGAAACTTCTGTCCACAAAGCATTTTTACGTAAATTGCTTCTTTCATAAGCAGGTGTGCTATAATCATATAGTGCTCTCCTTCTTTTTACTGCTCCAATTAACAGTTCATCTAATGTATCTTTATCTGTTGCAGGATCTTTCGCAGTCTTTGTTCTGTCTATTAAACAAATAATGATTATTATATAAAATATATTTAACTATTACGATATACTGAAATATGTGTAAAGAATAAAAGAATGCAGAAAAACATACATATTGTCACAACATAATTTTCATCTACGTAAATGCGATCTTCACCCTCTGCATAATGTTTAAAGCATTCATGCTCTAGAAAATTTGTAGTAAAAGTGAACAGCCACCCACAATAGCCACATTTGTGCTGAAAGGGTCCAAACATGCAATGTGAACAATAATGCATTAAGATAATGTAAAAACTATTTGCACAAACATTATCAATATTTTGTAAAAGGTCAATCCTTTTACATATATTTTTGTAAATGTACCTACGTAATTGCAAATTATAATTTTTATATAAGATTTTGTAATATAATTTTATAAATGTTGTCCTATCGGGGTTAGGCATTTAAAAAAGAGAAAGCAAACATTTTACATATCAAAGATAGCAACACGGATAGGTATAGGTATAAGTATTAATATACAACCATAACCTTACAATTTTGTGAAAAATGAATTGCAAATAACAGAACGCATAAATAATTTTCTATAATAAATTCATTATTCTTAACTTACTCTGATTTGATCCTTATCCATTTTTGTAAACCGAAACGCATCCGTAAGTCGGGTGGTTCGTTGGAACTGGGTACCTATCATGGAACAAAGTCGGAATGGATTCCGATCGGAATTATTCCGTTTTCTTTAAAAAACACAATAGAAATCTAGAGAATAATTGAACAATTTCGATCGGAATCCATTCCGACTTTGTTCCATGATAGCTACCCCGATGATGCACTTTGTAACGTGAAAAGTCCGTCAACAAAGCGTCGGGTTCCCCACGAGGCGTACTTTTTGAAATGCGTAGGTTATGAAAACCAATTGCGAATTCGATTAGCATTTCTGTTAGAGAGTACAGCAGAAACCCTAATCAGCGATTGGTTGTATTAGTTACACATTTTACGCAATTCCGTAAAATACGCCCTATGTGAATGCCGACCAAAGAATAGCGTAACGAAACATGTGTATTCTGAAAATTTACTAGATTACGCAGGTTATGCTTACGCAAGTTACGCTGCATGTGACGGCACCCTAACTCTCCACGAAAAGTCAACGAGAGTCATCTACGCTTCTTCAACGTTTCAGGAAGCTTTCTATTTTCGCCAGGGCATCTAATATAAAATAACTTAGCAAACATATAATTACAATACTTACAGATGACATTTCTTTACTTAAATTTTTCAGTACTCAAAATCTTCTTCTTCCTCCATCCGTAGGTTTCAGGTTTTTCTTAACCTATAAATTGCTAGTGATCACCAGCGACCGACAGAGTACGAAAAATTTCCGTTTCCGAAAAATATGCCCCATGGGGAGCCAGGCTACTTAAAATCGGAACGGAACGATGCTAATTGGTTGCTCCTACCACTTCACTTTTCCGATTCCGTTTTCCGTGCCATAGGACGGCACCCTAAGCCTGGATCCTCATACGGACAACAGCGCTTTGACACCGGACGCTGATTGGTGAAAAACGGGTTATGGGGGTAAATTTTACCTTCGCCACCGGTTTTTCACCAATCAGCGTTTGGTGTCAAAGCGCTGTTGCGCGTATGAGGATCCAGGCTAAGGGTGCAAACCCATGCAGCGGAATAGCGTAAAGGTTGATTTATACTGGCCGTAAACTGTTAACTTATGCCGTAATCTGTAAAAATTGACCAATCACAGTCGAATGAGAGGGGAATAATCGATTATAATTGGTCAATTTTTACAGATTACAGCATAAGTTAACAGATTACGGCCAGTATAATCCAACCTTAACGCGGAACGAGAGCAGAACCAATAACGAGCATTCCGTGTTTCTAGAGAATCTCGTGATTGGTTCTACTCTCGTTCCGCGTTACGCTATTCCGCTGCATGGGTTTGCACCCTAAGGGCGGGTTCACACCTTGACGGAAAAACGGAAAGCGGAAGAGCAGTTACCCGATCAGAACTCGCGCTGGTAATAAATAGTACAAAACTAACAGAAAGTCGACTACCTGATTGACTACTGCTTTTCCGCTTTCCGTTTTTCCGTCAAGGTGTGAACCCGCCCTAA